TGAGAGATGCATTATGGTGTATGACACAGACATTGTAATAAACGATTTACAAAGCATTTACGGAAACCACTACAGAGAAGTAATTAAGTGGATGCTCACTTTGTCATTAGGTGATGATATCACAAGCTTGAAAAGAACAGTAACACAAGTGTACGAGAAGCGAGAAGAGTACAAATCTAAGCATGAAAATTATCGAGTCTTTAAAGAAGCATTGAATGAATTAAAACGTCAGATCGAGGAAACAAATGGTAAAATACTGAACTGCTTAGTCATCGTTTTTTTTCCAGACCCCACTTTTATGATCAAGTCTGCTCTGTGAGCCATTAAATATTTTGAATTCTCTGTCAGATAAAAATCAATCAAAATATTTATTATGAATAAGTAAATCAAAAAATTATATAAATATAGTAGCACTTGAATCATTTTGGCCATTTAGTGGATCTTTCATATCTTAAATGTCTGATGATTTAGAGTAGCAATAAATATGACAACTCACATTAACATATTCAGAGTGTGGAGGTTAACTTAAAGCAAAATTCCCCCTCGACTGTTTGCCAGTTTTATGTTGTATTTCGTATCTACTGAAATGAATCTCCTAAGAATTAATAGTATTAATTTTGTTAATTAAAAAAATATCAAAAATATTGAAATATATAAAACATATTCTATTTAAATCTTCTTATTTGGTAGAGAATAGAAGTTAATATAGCTAAATTTTATCAACGAACAATTTTACCCATGAATTAAAATGTAACAGGTATTGATATTTAATATTTACTCAGTCCATGCTTAGTTTGATATCCTTTTTATTTTTGTTTCAGATGATATTGTACAAATTCTTGAAACGACCCGCTTCTAAGGAGTACTGACTGGATTCTGATTATATTGACACTTCAGATTTTTTAAAAATATTCTCCGAATCTTATTGTAAATGTAACAATTATTAATTAAAATAAAATACTACTGAAAAGGATTTAGCTTACATAAGCCTTAGGCCTAAATTATCATTTCTGTTCGGATTGCCTGTTTTTCAGTGAGTATTTATTGTCGTTTGTAAAAAAAAAATGCATGTTCAATTTGTTCTAGATCCAGCACATAACATCATTTTCAAAGTTTAGCAATCAACCTAATTGTGTAAAGCTTCTTTAATTTTGCTCATATACGTGAATGAAGGAATTCAGCAGTGTGGTGTTTCATCTTTTCATTTACGAGATATACCTCGAGCGAATTACGTTTAAGCTTCCGATCTTTATCTTTTGAAACCGAATATTAGAATAGAAATTCGGTTTCCGATAATGAACATTCTTCATGCTACAAAAATTAAGAAGAAAGAAATAAAAATTCAAATACTTGAACTGTTGCATTATAATGGATATCAATTTTAGATAAATTACTACTTGTTGCATATTGAAACAAAGTCGTAAGCCAAGCTGTCCGTCTGAAGGCAAACTACCTTTTTCAACTGTTATAATTCAAAAGCCAAAGGAGTCAATAAAAGCAATAAAGAGCCAAAGGAGATGTCTTCATAAAGTTTTTTGTTACTGTTCTCATAAAGGAAATCAGAAAAATAACAAAGTTTTTTTTTATTAATTTCAGATTATGATATGGTTGCATGCACGTTTAAAATAGACCAAAAAGAAATATCGAACCTTTTGTATATTTGTCGCAGCAAACATCTCATATATCTAAAATCGATTTCTTATCACCTGTTTAAACATATACATGTATGTGCATAGATTCAGTAAACAATTCGTTTAATTTCCCAAATCTCTAACTGTCTCTAATAAATTTAAACATCATTAACCAAAGTTTTGAAGTAAAAATGTTTATACAATATATATCACAGCATTTGACAGAGAGAAATGTTACGGATATGTTTCCCAATACAAATTTATGATGACTATAGCAAAGAGGAAAGTTTAATTGACAAAAACCTTCAAATCAATATTGGAAAATGGCCTGGGCAATCTGTAATAAATCGTTTTTAATTTTGAATGCTGAGCAATTACGCTTTGGCGTGGTATATCACGGCTGCTCATTCGGTAGAGCGCTCGCTTCCTGATCGGAAAGTCGTGTGTTCGAATCACGGCTGCGACTGACTAAAGTCGACAAAAAATTGGTAACACTTGGCACTTTGAAGTGAAAGTTGCGGGTCTTTCGGATGAAACCTTAAAAACCTAGGCCCCTTGTCACGGTAGGCGTTAAGGCGTTAAAGAACCCTCACTGCTCAATGGCCCTGAGTGCCGAGTAAAGGTCAAAATATGAAATCCTATATACCGGTATATGGTGACGTCTCTATATGAGAGAAAAATTCTCGAACGGGACGTTTAACAAAATAAAATCAATCAACCAATCCTGCACACACTTATAAAGAAGAGTGTTAAGAATTATGTCATTATTTATTGATGATCATGGAAAGTTGTTAAACAAATACACTGTCTTCCTTTAAAGGTGTATTGTTTATTACCAGAACATTCTTGTTGAAAGGCTTAAATACCAAGTGCAATACCGATACCGTGCGTAGTCTGCTCGCCAGGTAAATCTTAAACTACTGAGAAGAAAAACGCGTTATTTTGGTGCAAAATATTTAGGCCTGACCGATTATCTTTACGATAAAGTGCAGGATATATAAATTTTGTAGGACGCAGAATAGTGCCTATAAACTTTTTTCGAACAAAAAATCGAACGTAGGAAATTTTTCTTTTTTCGCACAGGAGCCTAGGTAAGTTAATCCTGCTAAGGGTATTGTGTAAAAAATGGCGAAGTGATTTATGTTTATCATTGTTTATGTTTTTTTTTTTAGTTTGGCCTTTAGAATTATACCTTATCAAAAATCATGGGTGTACACTTGAGCTTCAATTAATAATATTAACATTAATTGTTCGACGGTGAAATATATAGTAAGTAAAATACAAAACATAGATATGTGATAAGTATGATCAGCCGTTCAAGTATATTTTCAGCAGTACACTTCGCCAAATAATTTGCTTAAATTTTCACTAATTCAGAGTGTGATTCTCATATAAGATAAGTCTCGACAATACCTCCATCAAGCTTTCCTCTCCTCCGCACATGTCACAATATAAAAGCGGGGGTTAGAGTCAGAGGAATCTCGGATTACCTTCCCTTAAATAGGTTACGCTAAGGTATATACATTCAGCTAAAATGTCTGACAGGACAGATACATTGATGAAATTAGTAGAATGTAATGCACCAAGACTGACCTATTGAGAATTTTGTGATAAAATAATGAAATTTGGCAGAGATATTCTGAGCACATTTGTATAATTTGGCCAACACAGAATCCAGTCATGATATTTTACAAATGGCCGCGAACACTGTTTGTCTGGGAAGGCTTTTAATCTTTGTATTATCTCACCTACTGATAGAAGAGCACTTATTGAATAACTTTAAAACATGATTAAGTGCTAAGCAAAGGGGAATCAAAATAACAATATACTATCATATTTCAACAATTCACACATGTCTTTGAAAATTAGCATTTATGAACATAAATGTGTTTTTGGCAATCATTGTAAACGGAGAGTTATCTCCTACTTAAGAAATAATTAGGAAGAGTTATGCAATCTTGGTCCCCCACCTTTGATTTTCAAGAACATAACGTTGAATATATTATGTAATACTCTGTGTTCATGTTGGTATAATGATTTTTTACAAGCAGATATGTTTTCGACTCGGATGTGACAATATATGCTTTTAATATACATCCGGGTTATGTTTTTGTTAGATAATTTTTGTAACTAGTTTTTTGTTTTCATATTACGTCATTTAATTAATAAATAACAATTTTCAAATCTAATTTGTGTTTGAGTGATTTATGAAAATCAAACAGAGCCAAAATAAATGAGAGGATAGAGATTTGACAAAAACATCTTTTCCTCTTGTACACATACCAACGTTACAATCCCTCTTCAAACCCATGAACCTTTATTAATTGACAGTACACAATGAACACAAATGTAGCTCATATAAAAACCATTTCTTTTCCATATTCAGCAAAGACATGCTATCATCGTTTTTTTTCTGAACACGTCTTCCATAGACAACACATAGTAACTTTTGATTTTTTATAAATGTTTCCACATCAACTGACTTTACTTTAAGACATATAGCTGCTCAGATTATGATAGGGTTGCATGTTATGTAAAGGATCTTGGCGGTCATTTTGAAAATTCTTGCAAACCCCTTTAGAGGCGTAAAAAATGAAGTAGTCCAATATATTGCCAGTTTATTTATGCAGAGTATTACCTTACGTAAAGTTGTTAATTTTAGAAATATAATTTTAATCAGAGTATAGGATAATAAATAAAGCAAAATCTATCTCTTTTACATTGAGTTAAATTGGGATGGTAAGCTATTAACTTGTGTGTTTCATCTCAAAAAGTTGAAGAAAGCTACTGCAGTAATACTTTTCTTTCTAGGTATTGCAATGTCGACTCAGATAGAAGAATCTATATCAGAAGGGAAGTGTAGTGAACAAATGAGGTATTTAATCTAAAAAAAAAAAGATGACTGCAATTTGAGAGATAAAGACACTTCTTGATTTATCAGGTTTGTAATTTTGAATATAATTGTAGGCAATCGGAAAGTGGAAGAGTCAAAAGACTCGCTCGGGCTTTTGAGGATATTACCTTACAAAAGTAAAAATCTGTTAAGTTACTAATGTATTATTACAATAAATCAGTTAATTGGGAAAGTTTATTAAGAGATAACAAAATATTTATTTTATTCCTTCATAGAACACAGATACACCCTAACAAACGAAAGTCTGGTTATTTCTCCCACGCTCAAGCACCAGTCAGAAGCTATACACAATGTTTGTAAGTTGTTTCCTGAATTAAACTCATGTAGTTCCATTCCAAAGGATTATATGAGTAAAATTAGCTCATTTTATAAAAAAATCACATTTTAAGAATACCTACCAAAGAAATTTTAGTACTACAAAACTATTTTTTGTGATATATTTTATTCAGAGATATCGATATTCCCAAACTACGTGAAACTTTTGGAACATTAATAAATCTACTCCAAAGAGAAGAATTTGACGAAGACATGAAATCAGAATTAAAGTGTATTTTCCCTAATTATCTCAATATGCTTGAGGAAAGAATTTGTGATCTGGACAGAGAAGACAATGGAATTGTTGTAGCAGGTTCGTATTGTATAGAATATCGTGTATCATTTAAGATCTTACAAGTAAAAAATAGGTAAGATAAATATTTAACTTTTCAAGAAACAATGAGAGAAAAATAATACACACTGGATATACCTTTAAATCTAATAAGACAAAAAAAAAAAAAAAAAAAATAAAAAATAAAAAAAATGGCAGTATGAAAGTATCTGTCATCCAGATTTCTCATTATTAATTTAATTAATTGAATTAGTAAAATTAAAATTAAATTCATTAGATTATATATAAATAAAAATCAATAGTTATATATGTTTAACACATAAGCATTTTTGAAAATGAATTTGAAAACTGTGGGCACTGTTCGTTATCTTCAACATCTGAAAAAGTTCGGTTTTTGTTTTACAACACATTGGTCCTTCCTACCTCTTGTTTACTTTACCAATCTGTTTTGCAACCATCGACTTTATTTTTTAAAAATATAAAGTAGAATTAAATTGATAATGAATAAAGTTTTCATATCAGTTTCAATGTGGTTGATTTTACGATTTTTTTTCTTTAAAAGAATCAATTTATTACACATTATATGTTGATGTTTCATTTGTTGTAGGAGAGACAAGCTCTGGAAAATCAACTCTGATAAACACACTCAATGGAGAAAATATACTGAAGTCTAGAACAACAGAAAATACTTCAACTATTTGTAGAATCTGGAATTCAGAAAATATTGGATTTAAAGTCTACAACGAAAAATACGAATGCATCCACTCCAAACTGGATTACACAAGAGAACAGTTTTCTGAATTTCGAAAGGAAGTTCAAAATTTTACAGATGTGGGAAGCATGCCGAAAGACTGCTCCTTTGTGGATATCTTGTATCCAGTTTCTCTATTAAAGGTGTTAAATAATTTTTAAAGTATTTGAAAAATTTTCCGAATGTTACTGCAATGCAAAATGTTTAAGAAAAAAATTGTTAACTGCAAAGCAAAAAAAAAAAGTTAACAGGCAAAGCAAGAAATATCGAAAAAAGCTTCCTTCAATTTAACTGGAAAATGCTAGGAAAGCCTTATTGCTTACAAAAAAAAAAAAAAAAAAAAAAAAAAAAAAAAAAAAAAAAAAAACTCTGAATCAGAATCAGAAATACCAATAAGAATATGGCAACATCTTTACATTTTCAGGAGTTAAATTTGTGTAATTCAAGGCTCTAGGCTCTAAGCATTTTTTTCTTCAGGGGAAAACAATTTTAGTAGATACTCCCGGAGTTGGAGGAACTAAACATCTGGCCGAGTTAATGATGAAGTACTTACAAAACGCAGTGGCCTTCGTCTTTGTTGTAAATGCATCCAATGCCGGTGGATTACAGGATGATAGGGTACGAGTTGATCTCTTTTATGGCATTCTTGGTCTTTGTGTTTTTAGCAATGTATTTTAGGTTAGTCAGTGTCAATTTTTCTCTTTTTTAAAACACTTAACTTATTTGAATGATTTACTTTTCATAACACTCAGAAATGAATGATTCTACATATATAACTATTTTACGTATTGAGAGAGATGACCCTACCCCCCCCCCCCCCCCAAGGAAATGCCAATTGATGTTACTTGCTTTAGGTTAAAACATGAGTAAAATCTTGACCAAATTAAATTATGCTGAAGAACCCATCATTGTCTACATGACAATTCATATTATAAACGCAAATTTTCGACATTATGACGTTCAGTATACTATTACATTAATATTCTTTTGGACAGCTTCCTATCATATTGCGGGAAATTCTATGCTATCATTCAGCCAATAAAATGCCATGCTTTGACCCATGTGACGTCATTTTTGTAACAAATAAATGGGACGTCATCTACTCTTCCTGTGAGGAGGACAGCGATGAAGAGGATGTAACTCTTACATGGGAAAAAGTCAAGACATCAATCAGGAAGCACTGGGGATCCGTGAAAGATGACCAAATTTTTCAAATCTCACTGAAGAAAGTTTGTATAATTGTAGTTCATATCACTGTTAATGCTATTAAAACCAAGTAGTGCGATTGTGCATGTACATGTATTAATGACATATTTTAGTTATTTTAAATGCTATAAAAGATCTTACTTTCTAGAAATCGTTTGATTTAAATGAAGGAGTCATTGTACTTAACTTTTTTTCAAATATCCTATTATACAAGTTGGATCAGTACAATTCATTGTTGCCCTCTTGGTCTATAGCGATTGGACATGATTAATTCAATCACAGCCCGATCTTGAAAGCGTATATTTGGCCATATCTTAATATGACAAAAAATTCTTTTTTAAACCTAATTCAAAAGATGCGAAGAATATTGTCCTCTTCTACAGAAGTGAATTATTTTATAACCTCAGAATAACTGGAAACGTTATGCGCTTATATGTTCATAAAGACAGCATTTGGTGTGATAAAAATTCCCTTTTAAACCATGGGGTAGCATGCAAAGTTGATGAAGGTGTGAAATTGGATTCCGTATTTGTAACATACACTAGAATTGTTTTTATCAAATGTCCTAAATGAATTGATTTAAAAAAATCATTTATATATAAATGCTGATGTATACATTTTGATTGTTGAGAAAAATACTTTACACGTTTCAGGATCATTTGATTAAAGAATGAAATCTAGAAATCTCTATAATGTGAAATAATGTACGCAAGGGCTAGTATTGGATCAATATGAATACAACGAACAGTAATCAATCTAAAAAAACCATAGAAAAATACAAATCAGGAGCAGAGTAAACACAGACTTCTAAAAACATTAAAGGTGGGATCAGGTGCCATGGAGGAATAAGCATCCCTTGTCGACCGGTTACACCAGCCATGTTCTCCTTGTCGTGATCGGGTAAACGGAAAACTCGTAGACGATTCAGTGTGTAAAAAATGGCCTAACAATTAGTATGAAAACGTCAGTGAGCGTTCGACTTAATGGTAGATTGTATTTGCTGACAAGGTCATTGTATCAACGATAGAACTTGTGAAATGATGACATTTAAACGAATCTGTTGATATTCTTGTTTCATCAACTTGTTTGTCAAAGCTTGCCTCATTTTAGAAATTGTTCGTACGTAGAGCATGTCTCGCATATCTAATCAATTAGGAGATATAAGCCCCATATGCAGGTGATAAGGATATATTGCTACTTAAGTAAGGGAAGTTGATGATAGAAACTTTGAAGTCATCACGTTTATCATAAAGTTTTTTAGGTAACCATTACCGTTTTTTCTAGTAAAATATCCAAATATGATGCAAACATTCATATTGTATAATGGCTTGATTAACTTATAATCAGCGATAAGATTTTAAAACATCATCAGTATCAGCATGTTGCTATGGTTCTTCATTGCAACATTTCACCTTGAGTGGACATCATTCGTAAAAACTTATTTTAATTTCTCCCTGTTCTTTCTTTTTACTATGTGGACTTTGGAAATAACATACTTGCTAAACCATGAACAACGCTTTTTTTCAGATGAAAGGTGCGAATGGCCAATTTAAAACAGAATATTTAAGATTTGAAGAAAAGTTGAAGGAAATAATAGACAGAAATCATGTCAGTCGAAAGCAGAAGCATTTAAGGTTTTTATTTTCTAATTTTACCGATACTTCAAAAAAATCATGAATTCTTTTTTTTTGTTTTTTTTTTATTATGCTTTGAGAATATGCTATTTATCGAAGTGGCAATTTGTTATGCTTAAGGGTCTGTCAATGTTTGCTTCATTTAGTATAGATTAGCTTGTTTTGCAGACTACCTATGAAAGCTTTGTGGATTTTATTTTGCTTAAACCAGGTTTTTGGATAACATTCTACGAGTTTTGGAGAGAGTAACATGTGGAAGAATCCTATCCTCTAAACTGTCCGAAGTCGATCATCAAAAGTTAGCAGAAAAAAATAATCAAACAATGGAAGAACTTGTGCAGAAAAAAGAACAGGTGATTATTTAACTATCATCCGTTAATGTACAAAAAGTACATTATTAAATGTTAGCATCTAATACCAGCGAGTTGATAATTTTTTCTTGTAGAAGGTTAAAAAAAAAGTTCCATATGAGTTATAAACTACATGTATATGAATAGATTCAAATATGACTTTGTCAACATCAAAGGATCCCTGCTTTCAGAACGTAAATATTCCTAATAAAAATATTTCTTCTTTGCTAGCTAGGTCCACTCCCAACAATTTTTTTGTGTGATCTCGAATCTTATCTCATACACACAGTTTGTGTCTAAATTAGAGAGTTTTTGAGAAATTGATATATCTAAAAATGATCAGCAAGCAATTATTTGTTATTTAAGATGCACGTCTATATCACAGGTCACGTTAAATGTATATCAACTTATTTAAGAATAATTCTTTACGTGTAGGTTCCATTTCCTAGAATATAGAGCAAAGAAAAATCTGGAATGGGAAATCTTCATTAGTTATAGCTTTTCAATAACTTTTCAATTCGCTCATTGGTCGAACAATATCAATATAAACTCTGATCACATCTTCAAAAAAAATCCTGACTTTTGATAGTATGGGTTTTGAAATGATGTCACTGCACTGCTATATTTATTGAATGGTCATGTTGTTATCTTAGGAATTTTATTCCATTCCCTGGACTAAATAATGTAGAGAAACGGAGATGTCATCATTGACTATATCTTTGCTCAATTAAAGGGAACCCTCCCAAATTTAGATAATACAATAGGATAAGGGTTTGTAAGGAGTTCATGTGATCAGAAACACTTATCTAGCAAAGATTCAATTATCTTTTCAGATCAATAGGGATCTCCGATCCCAGTTAGATTCTTCAATTTGCGCTCTTAGCGATGATCTAATGGATTATGTTTGCTCAGTTAAGGGAAAAAACAAAATATTAATCCCACCTGGAAAAAAAGACATAAAAGAAGTAAATGTTTTTGCATTAGAGAGAAAAGTGAAGGAAAGATACATAAGCTTTCTCGAGAATTGGCGTCAAAGTCCAGAAGTGTTAAGTGTCTTTCAAGATCTTGAGCGACAAATCAAAAACTCTTTTAGTACATTGAAGGGTAAAATTGAGGAACTTGAAAAAGAATTAATGGGTTCCCAATATTCTCCACCAAACAAAGACATTACAACAAGTCCCGGTTGGTTCCCAGTTCTCGACATTGCCGGGACGCTATCCACAATTGCTGGAGTTGTACTATCATCGCTTTTTTCTGCGGACTTTCAAGATGAAAAGAAGTCAACAGTAATCGACAAAATGTACGAAAAATGTGTCAGGATTTATGATAGGGAGACCGTAAGAAATGATTTGGAGAATATATATGGGAATCACTACAGGAATGTGATTGAGTGGATGCTCGATGGGTCAATTGGAGATGACATCAGAAGTTTGAAGAAAACAGTTACGCAAGTGTACGAAAAGCGAAATGAGTACAAAATTAAGCATGGAAATTACCAAATTTTCAAAGAAGCCCTGAAGGATCTAAAACAGCAGATGAAAGAAACAAACGGTAAAATATTGATAAAAAGTTGATTGCAAAACTGATTACTTCATTTATAATTGTTCTATTTATTTAAAAAATCAGAAATATATTTTCATAATTTTTAAAAGAAACACTGTCACTTTCGAAATTTATTTATGATAATATTTTCATGGTCTATTTAATGCAATATTAGATTGGTTTTTGATAAGAAATTTTAGGACAACTTAAACTGACTTAGTATTTCATTGAAAGAATATTTGAACGTATGAAAATGGAAATATAAGAAAGGACGGTATATCGTTATTTGTTTTTGTTTTTTTTTTTTTTTTTTTTCTTCTTCTTCTTTTGGTTGAAGATTAAAGTTATTTAGATTTTGTCTATGGTAATCTATCAGAGAATAGAATTTCTTCAAATCACGCTTTAAGGTTTTATTTTAAACTCAAATGTGATATTGAAAAATTGTTTCGTGGGAAAGGTTCTCATTTTTAATTTTGGTTACACATTTTTTAAGTGCTAAAAGCGGAAATATTTATAAAACATAATTTTCATATTATTTTATTTCTAATCAAAACAGGGAAGTTAATGACAAATGATCAAAGTAACATTTCAGTTATGCTACAAAATTAATTGGAGTAAGGAATTGAAAAAAAAAAAATTCTGGTATTTGCAATCGTGCGTAAGATATATACTCTGTTAGATATTGATACAGTTCATAATCAGATTAATTCCAAACCTTCTTCTTTTTGTTTCAGACAATATTGCCAAAATTCTTGAAACTACTCACCTTTAAAGAGTTTATGACTGATTTAGAATGGATAGATCACAGATACTTCATGTTTTCATAGATACCTCCAAACTTGTGGTATGGTAACTGTAGAGAATTTTTTTATCAAAATAAAACTTAAAATAATGTCTTTCTTTGTGACTCCTTTCAAATCCACTTTGCCTTTTCTTTGAAGTGTCCTTTGTCTTTTGTCTCGTTTTGAATTCATTTGACTGTTGTTAGCAATTAACAGGTTGGGTGGGCTTTTCCAGAATTTTTAGATCATTTTTTGTCAAACTTGCCACAAAGTATCGTTTTGTAAATGATTAAGTAATTTTACTGTTGTTGGAGTAATGGACAGAGTCCTTTTCTTCAGATCAAGTAAATTAATGGAAGCTCACTGGGATATATCGAGTTGACAAATGAATGGAAGTAACTTTTGTTAATTGATAATACGTCGTCGATATATCGAAATGTCGAGTTGAAGGCTGCAGCAAGTGTTTTCTTCTTCTCATGTAGAAGATTTTGAATAAATTCTGCTTCATATGAATACAAAAATAGGTCTGCTAACAAAGGGTGCCTATGGGAATTCCAAGAGATTGTTGAAAGACCTGATCTCCAAAAACTACAAAGATATTGACAATCAGAAGTTCAAGCATCTTTTTAATATCAGCTTCAGGGTAGTTGTGTGTACAATCAGAATTCTTTTTAACAAAATAATTTTTGCAAATGACCAACGACAAGGTAAGTAA